TATGGTTCTTATATGAAAGGTTGAATACCGGATGTTGAACAGCGTCGCCAAGATTACAATGTTGACCTTTGTGTTTTAGTTTAAAATGGGAAATCAATCTGTGTTCTACTTGTTGTGTAGTTTATCCATATGATTAGGATTTCTTCATTTACTCAAAACTATCAATACGACATCTTCTCCGTCCGAAATTCAATGAGAAATTGTGTTGAAGGAGCATAACTGAGACGTTTGCCTGTCATTTACTTTATGGAGCACAATGTCTAGAAGCTGATATTTGTCTCACTCACATTTGTAAAATTTTTATTTCCACTTTCTGCAACCATATCTTACACAAGGGATAATAAAATAAATCTATTAATCTATTCTCCATCTCGGTATTAGCTTACATTAGCACATCCATCAACGATGGCCCTGGATGCTTGACTCTGAGGTGTCCTGATCCATCCTGTGGTGCTGCTATTGGCCAAGATATGATTAATGAGTTGGCATGTGATGAAGATAAAGAAAAGTATAAACGCTATCTTCTTCGGTCGTATGTTGAGGACAGCCGCAAGGTACGCTTAAGTTTCCCAGATACCCTGCCAGTTTCAAGTACAAAGATTCTATCGGCCATTTTGTTTTATTAAGTAGGGAATACCATTCTATCCAAATAATAAGTGAAAATTATTTTCGATATCGCCGTACATGTGTTTGCTACTAATAATCAATTTCCTCATGAAATGCTAATGCAAAAGACATGCACGTCCATACACCATGCTGGTAGGTAAGGCGGTCTGTATATAGATATTTCAAATTTATCATTATGTATGTGTATATTATATTAATGTGAATCATCAGAAAAGGGAGGGATCTCCTAATATGGATATTGTTCTGGTTTAGTCCCTTTCATCATTGGTGCTGCTACTTGTAGTAATATAATATCCATGACTACCTTTTTGACAAACACTGATGCAATTGTGTTTAAATTTGTGCTTGATCACTTCAGAGAATTAGATGAGTTCTAGTCACATTCTTGTTTTCTATTTTTGGCCCTACCCTTTCCCAACACAAATAGAGGTGTTTCTGTTGATTCTGAAGTGCTGTCCATATCAGTGGGAGGCTTGGACAATAAACTGCTGTTAATATGATTACTTGTTTATAATTTTATTTCGGGAGAATGACATTTGTCATTCTAAAAATTTTTCAACTACCTTTGAGATTTTGTAATCTTAAGATTAGATACAGACGAATTGTTAGCTCAGCCTTGATTTCGCATCATGTGGTCAATTTGCTCCTTTTAATTGGTATTAGATTTTGAGGGTATGATAATTACTAAGCTTTATTAGAACAACAGGCCCTTGTGCTCTGGAATGCGTCCCTCACTTGTGATTCATCCTATTTCGTGGTATTAAGTTATGTTTGATATTTTCATACAGGTTAAGTGGTGCCCTGCTCCTGGTTGTGATTCTGCTGTTGAATATGTTGTTGGCAGTGGAAGCTATGATGTCTCTTGCAGTTGCTCATATAGCTTCTGTTGGAATGTAAGTTGGAATATAGCTTCTTTATGCATTTGAATGTCTGTTGTTTCTGTTTATTTGTTTTATCATTATTCTTTATTGAATCCTCATGTTTACTTTGAGCTGGTGGTAAATCAGTGCTCTGAGGAAGCTCATCGGCCAGTGGACTGCGAAACTGTGACAAAGTGGATTTTAAAAAACAGTGCAGAGTCAGAAAACATGAATTGGTAGAGTACTTATCACACAGTGTGTTTTCTTTTCCTTTTGCTTTCTACATTTGAGTATAGAATTTCTCATCATGATGTTGTCAAGTAGTTGCTGGCTTTGTATTTTACTATCAGAAACAGGTTCTTTGAATTACAAATTGATCTGATTGTTTTGGNNNTTTTTTGAATGAAGAGATAAGTATTAAATATTCTTACTTTCAAAGTCACAGAACATTATGACTATAGTTCTTCTAAATTTAGAAATTTATTGATAATAATTGTTTAGTTTGATTGGATAAGGAAATTAATTTTAGTACAGTTTCCTGAAGATGTGAAGTCCAATTCGAAAGTTTAAAAAAATAAAAATAAAAAATGGCATCCGATGTGGGGCTGTTATTTATGGGCATGCAAAAATATTAGCAGCTTTTCAAGTCAACTCACGTTCTGAAGTGGAGTCGAGGATACTCTTATCTGCTTCAGTTATTTGGTTCTTCACCAAATGCCTGTTCCTGAAGGTGATATGTTTAAACAATATGGAGTTGTCATCACATGTCAAGGGGGAAAAAGGAAAATAACTTTATTACATAATTTTGCTTCACAAATCACTACTATGAATCTGTACTTGTGGATGCACTGCTACTAGTATTTTTGCTTGAAATTTTCTTTAGATGCCAATGTAATCAGGGAAATTACATATCTCATTCCCTTATTTTACAAGCACACCCTAAGTCACAATATAGGTACAAAAAACAAAGAAATTGATAGGACATGACACTATTTCTCTGCTATTTACATAAAGGTTCAGTTACCTGGTACATCTGGTATCCTGGGATATGGTCTGTTGTTTCTGGTTATCTGGTAGGTATTAAACGTGTGCCACTGGGAGTGCTTATATTGTCATTCCTCTGATGTACTCCACTTTTCTTGTTGACCTTGTTTTTCGTCCTGTGTGCGCTCTCTTCATTTTCAAGTGTATAGTGAGTGCTCTTGTGATGCCACTCCTAATTAGCTAATGTTGTATACTTCCATGTTGGCCTTGTTCCGCCCTGTCTCTTCTCCCCCCAATCCCTCTCATTTTGAACTCTACTTGTTTTGTACCATAATGTTTCTTCCTTAAGATGATGTAAATTTCTGGGTACCACAATATCTTGTTGGGAGTCACATCGATTTATTTCCATATCAAACTTAAAACTTAATAGGAACCCGGCGTATTGAAAATGCTAACTTTTCAGTTAAGAATGGTCTAATTTCTTCTTTTTTTTTTATTTTTTTTTTTAATTTTATTTGTGGTGGACCTTGTCTTGTGGTGTTACAAAAGAATAGCTTAGCTCCTGCTAATTTTGTGATATTAGGATATTGGCCAACTCCAAGCCTTGTCCAAAGTGCAAGCGTCCGATCGAGAAGAATCAAGGTTGCATGCACATGACTTGCACACCACCCTGCAAGTTTGAATTTTGCTGGTATTTTTTATTTTTTATTTTTATTTTTAACTTTTGTACTTCTGAGAAAATTTCTTCATGAAAAAACCAAATAGCCGCACGTTTTTTTGTTCCAGATACTAATTTCATTGCTTCCTTGTGTAGAACTGTGTTGACATTGGTGTTTTTAACTCTTTCACAGGCTATGTCTTGGTGCATGGTCAGACCACGGTGAGAGGACAGGGGGTTTCTATGCATGCAACCGTTATGAAGCAGCAAAACAAGAGGGAGTGGTGTGTAATGAGGGAATTTAAGCTACCAAGTTATTCTGTCAGAAGCTGTTGTTCTAGTTTCTCAATTCCAAAAACAATGATATACTTTTGACTTATTTGGCTAATTGCATTATTCATCCAGTATGATGAAGCTGAGAGGAGGAGAGAGATGGCCAAAAACTCTTTGGAAAGATACACTCATTATTATGAGCGATGGGCTTCCAACCAATCGGTATGTAGCTGACTGCTACCATGTCTATTAAATGCAAGATTTTCTTTTTTCTTTGATATATCGTCTTGTTGCATACTTGCATTCGCATAACCTGTATGTTTTTGCAAATTTATTGCAGTCAAGGCAAAAAGCTCTAGCAGATCTGCATCAGATGCAAAGCATACATGTAAGTTATGTTAGTTATGCTATATATTTAAATGTTAATGCTGAATGTTATGTATTTCATCTTTTAACTACTTTGCTCACAAGTTTTATGTTATTTCATCTTTTAACTACTTTGCTCACAAGTTATCCTTTTGGTACTGTGCCTCAATAGGGACCTGCAGAAGGCAAATACTGTTTATATGAAAATTTTATTTTTCTCTAAATTGCATCTGTGGAAGGGTTTGGATTTTTTAAATCCATAACAATAAGTCCATTGAGCTTATTTGTGTATGATCATTCTAAAATGGCTTTAAAATCATTAATACCATTGTAGAATGAGCATGAGCTCTCAAATGTTCGATTTTTTTTTCTTGGAAAAATCGACTTATGTCTTATTTTATGCATTCATGTGAAATACTTACTTTAATAGTGTTCCCCATCCAAGTTTTTAAGCTAAATGCTGTCAGCTTATAAGATTTCTCTTCTTGCAATGACGAGTAGGGCGGAACGAAGTGCATTCACATCAATAAACGGTTCTATTGGAAGCCATGTTTGTAATATTTATAAATCTAATATTACTACTAATGATTCCCTGAATTTGGTCTTTCCAGCAAACATTTTGGATGTTCTGAGGATTCTTTAATATTCTGGAACAATTCAATGATTGAAGCTTTATTTTGCATGATATCCCATTTCCTGTTCAATGATTGAAGCTTTATTTTGCATGATAGCCCATTCCCTGTTATGCTGGTGACAGTTTTATTAATGAGAAATTGAAGTATTCCCAACAATCAGCATATCTTGTACTACCGTAATCTTTCATCCGCCTAGCTACAGTTTTCACGACCAACCACAACTAACTCTAAGAAAGTACAATTTGTCACAAGTTTTTTACAGGCAGGCAAAAAGTGATAAAAACTATCTCATCCATTAAGTAGTCAATAGTTACAGGTTGGGAATTTGCTTTATTGCAAAATAAAGGTGGCCTCTGTAATACTTACCTACTATAACATATGCATAGATCATCATTAGGCCGAAGCACTCTTTAATAAGCACCTTTTTAATATACCATAACCACGGTGTTATTGTTGGATAGGTTGTCCTTTATTTGTATTGTTGAGATGGTTATAGTGGATGTATTTCTGAAGTGCTGTTTTCTTTATCCCCCACATTTGGGATCACTCATAGCTATATATAACATACAAGTCTGCAGCTATGGTGGTGACATCAATATTTTTGTTTTATCATTTCCTGGATCATTTTTATGTCATAATTTTGTGTTCTTCCATGCAATTGGTTATTGTTATGTTTGTACATTTTCTCTCCAGCTTGAGAAGCTTAGTGAAGTACAATCACAACCAGAGTCACAATTGAAATTCATTATAGAAGCCTGGCAACAGGTAAGCTAGAAAACGGGTCTGTTTGTTCAGTTATATCTTTGGTCAATTTGGATCGTGTTTTAGAATTCTGCCAATCGAGTAGGTGCTAATTGTTAAATGTATTTGTGAATAATCCTCCCTATCATATGTTCTTTGATGCCTTCTTTGCTATGAGTAATCAAAGTAATGTGAACTTCATTTGTACTCATTTTCTACACGTAGAATTACATGAAACAGTTTTTATATGGAACTGAGAATTCCTATCAAGTTGTGTTTTGAGCATTTGCGTCCTTTAAAGTATTGAATAACCATGCATGGCCTTTGGATCATTGTGCAGATAGTTGAATGTAGGAGAGTGCTCAAGTGGACTTATGCATATGGGTACTATCTACATGAGCATGAAGATACTAAAAAGAAATTTTTTGAGTATTTGCAAGGTATGTCTCCAAGTTCTTGATTAGTATCTCTATCATTTTTGTGGAATTTGAATCCAACACATTAATGTAAAGGTGAGGCGGAAGCGGGTCTCGAGAGGCTTCATCAGTGTGCAGAGAAAGAGCTAATGAATTACCTCAATGCTGATGGGCCATCAAAAGACTTTAATGATTTTCGTACAAAGCTTGCTGGTCTAACCAGGTAATTTGTGGTTGCGAGGACAAATAGATGACTTCATATTATAGATCTGTAAATAACCTGCATATATATTATACATAAAACTTGTAACATCAAGACCTTTGTGCTATTTGAGAGTCATAGATTTCTCTTGATTATTTATGAGATTTGATAGATGCTGAAACTTCAGCATAATATCTACTTGCATGTCCTATCCCAGCAGGATATACATACGTATATATGAATATATATGAGCATTGTAGTTGCTGTTTCTGTAAGTAACCAGTAATCAGCAGACATGTTTGAAGGTACAATTCTAAGTTGTGTATTATCCCACTGGACAAAATGTAGCCTTTCTCATTTCTCTTAATATATCCGCTTGAAAAGGTGGTGTCCAGTTTAAGTTGGAAGTTTGAACATGAACACATCTGCTGTGATTCAGAGTGGTGATAATTCTTAATTAGATTTCGAACAATATATTTGAACATGCACGTGGTGTGAATGATTTTGTTTCTATTCTTTCGGAAATCTCTGTATCTCGTCTGCTATAGTCCTTTGATAATTCTTAGTTAGATTTCGAACAATATATTTGAACATGCACGTGGTGTGAATGATTTTAATGATTTTGTTTCTATTCTTTTGGAAATCTCTATATCTCGTCTGCTATAGTCCTTTTAAATAATTTTACGGAATTAGAACTTAGAGATTGGGCCAACTATGCGTAATTAATATTTTATTTTTTTATCCATTGTATACAGCGTGACGCGAAACTACTTTGAGAACTTGGTGAAAGCACTGGAGAATGGTCTTTCAGATGTATCTCAGGCAGCAAGTAATAGTATGACATCATGTTCCAAAAACGTGGCCGGGACTAGTAAGAGTAAAGGCACAAAGGGGAAAGGATCTTCGAAGTCAGGTAGAAATGCAGATGATTCGGTTAATTGGACATGCGATCAGTGTACCTTTGTGAATGTACCATCTGCAAGCACTTGTCATGTCTGTCAACACCGTCCATAGACATGAGACACAAGGGTTTTTTTTTTTCTGCCGATTAATGGATTTTCAAAGATCCTAACTTAAGTAACAGCAGCAAAATGGCTGAATCATTTNTATGATGAATCGTACTAGGAGATAGATCTCTGGTTGAGATTGTATCATTTCATCTGCCTGTATGTTGTGCTTGTTATGTGTAATATAAAATGGTCATGCTGGAATTTGGCGAAGCTTTATCTGTGGCTTTTCATCCTCAGTTGATGGTGTCTGACCACGGTGTTAAATAGGCTGTGAGAGAAGTAAAGTTTACCATCGCTGTTGAAACTTGGGTACGATGCCTGTGTGTTAATCAGTTTGAGAATGATACCTAAAGTACATTGGAAAGATGAATATACTCAAAATCTTATAGTGCTTGGTGTGTGTATTTAATTTGTACCAAGAACTTGATTGTCTCAGAGCGTGCACAGTACAGCCGAGGGCTGAGTTTAACTTTTAATATATTTTTAGTTATTTTGATGAAATGTACCCTGTAAACAAGTTAGGTTCAGATACGCCAAACTGTATAAATATTGGAAGCCTTGTGGAGTATAAAACTGGTAAAGAGCTATTAATGCCAAACAAATTACCTTTGTATTCATGTCCTCTTTTTTGTTTGAAGTGTAGACCAAGATGATTCATTAATATCAAAGCAACACAAGTCAATTCACCCTGCATTACACTTCACACAGAAACTGAGAGATAAAAAAAGATTAGAGATGAGTTTTATAGACGACGGCAACCCCAGTTTTAAAAAACAAACATGCTCAAAGCTTCCCATTAATATGCCATTTAAAAATACAGCTGCATGGTAGAGGCATGCGTAACATATTTCACCTTTACTACTCGTTTTTGAAATATTTGCACATTTACCACTCCTACCAATTAAATTGTGTTTATACATAAAAAATAAAAAATAATTAAAGTCATGCCTAATATCAGTTACACGATATGGAACAAACTTTCCATGTTTCTAGCCCATAATTTAAGCTCTCAATCTTGGAAGGATATCAGTTAGATATCATATTTCAAACTTTTCATGTTTCATTATCACATCTCATATATAGTCGTAGTGCTGCTATTGAACAGGTGAAAGTATATGTGCAGTATATTTTGGTATTTGTTCATGGAAATAAACTGCGTAGTTTTAATATATTTGGTTTATGTTCAGCAGTTGATTCTTATTGTGCAGCATAAGTATATTTTTAGTTTATGTTCAGTATATTTTTAGATTTTTATTGTGCAGCATAAGTATATTTTTAGTTTATGTTCAGTATATTTTTAGTTTATGAACCACATCAAACAAAGACTTGGCTCCGGATCGGGCCTGGAGTTGCTGCTTCCGCACGGCGATCTTCTCAGGCCGGTGAAGGCTGACGAGGAAGGAGGTTGAATCAACAAGGACAAAAGAAAAAAAAATCAAAAATAAATAAGAAAAATTAACAAGAATTAAAACTGGAGCTTCAAGGGATTCTATCGTTGAGCAGAAAAAGGCAAACAAGACAGAGGGAAGAGGGGATTGAAATGGCGCAAGCTGCAAACTAAGCCGCGACCACCACGAGGGCGGAGATCTGAGCCCGCCGCCAGGCCCGGCCTTCACTCCGTCCGAAATCCCAGAGACCGCCATGGCGACATAGATTTTGGGAGAAGCGCCATCAACGACCGGCATGGATCCTCAGGCCTGATAGAATTGATGTCGCGGAAGCATCGAGAATCGAGCATCATGTAAATCTAGAGAGAGGTGGGGTTTAGCGGAGAGAAAACAAGGTTTGAAGAAGAGAGAGATATGAGGGGAGACGATAGATCGGGCTTGGCGAGAAAGCAAGATCTGGAGAGGAGAGAGATGAAGAGAGACGATGGATAGAATTTGGCGAGAAAAAACAAGATCTGGAGAGAGATATGAGGGGAGTCACCATGTAAATAGGAATGAGAAATTATTTTATAAATAATTATATAGAAGATGTAATTATGTAATATTTTCAGATTTTCCAAGTGGAGGATGTAAATTCCTCAATTTCTTAAGCTATAAATGAGTTTCTTACATTTAAACAAAAGAAGCATGACAAAAGACAACCACAAAATCAGGCTTATACAAAATTACACACACACACACACACACAGAGTTTGTTGGTATTTCATTAATTTTAACACTCCTCCGTAACGCTCATTTGGATAACTTTGAGCCCATCGCGTAGTGCTTCGAATCTTGGTCTTGACAATTGCTTGATTGCACTTTTTGTAGCACTTTGACTTTTGTTGTGATGGTTTTGAAACTTGTCTTTGATGACTGTGTATGCTTGCTTCTCCTGATGGTGTGATTTTTGTACTCAGATATTTTTCTTCTTGACACCTTTTGCTACAATGTTGACACTTAACTTGCCAATTGACTTGTCTTCTGTGTTGGGTATTGAAATTCCATTGCAAAACATTGATTCTCACTCATTTTGATTTTTGCAATGGCCTTCTTGTCCTTGTTGTAAATGGTGCATGAATCTCCCTTAAAATGCAAGTTGTAGCTTTTCTTTAACATTTCGCCGACACTTAGTAAATTTTGATCGATTGTTGGAACTAAGAGGACATTGTTGAGATATTTTGTGCCTTCTCTTGTGTTGATGGCGATAGCTCCTTTTCCTGTTGCCTCCACGTATTTGCCATTTCTAATCTTGACTTGTGAATTGAATGTTTCAATATTGCAAAAAATACTTTCATCGAAAGTCATGTGATTACTGCAGCCGTTGTCCAAGTAACAAAGGCTTCTTTTGTCTCCTGTTGTACCGTTGGAGGCATAGAACAATAATTCTTCTGGCTCTGGCACTGTCTCTTCTGAAAAATTGGCTCGTTGACTTTGTCTTCTTTCCCAATAGTGTTTCTCGATGTGTCCAAACCATTGACATTTTTTGCATTGAGGTTTCTCTCGAAACCAACACTCTTCTTTTTTGGGATTATTTTTCTTGCAAATTCCACATGGTGTATCAAACCATATTTTGTTTTTCTCGGGTTTAGAATATTCCCCATCACTTGATTTTTTTGGAAATCTTTTCTCTTGACTTTTCAAATTTTGAGATCGTAAATTTAATTTCGACTAAAATACAGTTTCCATGTCATTTTCATTTTTCTTCAAATTTGTCATTCTTTCATAAGCTTCTAGAGAACCAACTAATTCTGTCACATATAAAGTATTTAAATCTTTCAATTCTCTAATGACTGTAACGATTGGGTCCTACTTTTCATTGAAAATAATTAGTAACTTTTCAACAACTTTTTTATTTGAAATATCTTCTCCAACTGCCCTCATGTGATTAACAAGCTCAATTAATTTTGTATAATATTCTTTCACGGTCTCATTTTCTTTCATTTTTAATTTTTTCGTAAGTCTGTAATTTGACTGCACGTACCTTGGATTTTTCTTGAAATTCTTCTTATAAAATCTCCCAAGCTTCTTTGGCGTTGTTGGCTTTGATGACTCTTGGAAAAATATTGTCTGACAAGGCTTGTTAGATTATGTAGAGTGCCTGTGCATCCTTCCGTCGCTCCTCTCATAGTTTTTTCTGTTCTTGTACGAGCAATGTTGATTTATCCATGGAAATATTGCGAAAACTTCCCACAAGAATTGTGATAAAAATAATGTTTTTCATCTTGATGCTCCAGTAGTCGTAATTTTATCCTCCAAATATTGGTAGAGGAATAGTGTTGTTTGATGAGGACGTCATTTCTCTTTGTTACGCCCCAAGTCTTTTGATCGATCGGGCTCTGATACCACTGTTGGTATTTTGGGTGAGTTTGAGTAATTGTTATATTAGATTCGAAATGATATAAAAATAAAACTTGGAATAATACTTTGAATTTGGAAATGTTAATGGAAAAAGGAGACTTTTATTAGGAGTATAATAGGATACATGGGCTTTCTTTCAAATTTTGTTGCATCCTTCATGGCACACACATATATTGATATATATAGAGAACATGAGGTGGTCTGGAGAATTCTATGTCTAGAGATTCTACCACACACTAATAGGCTCTTTAATGCAAAAAAAATAAAAATAAAAAAAAGTAGGCTCTTTCATTAACTTTTATTAATCTGAGAAATATAGACTTACCTAAAGACTAAGCAAAAATATTAATTTCCTAGAGAATTCTTCATGAAGTGTTTTCTACAAGTTTCTAGATTTCTCCAAATGCTCATGAGGTGGTCTGGAGAATTCTATGTCTAGAGATTCTACCACACACTAATAGGCTCTTTAATGCAAAAAAAATAAAAATAAAAAAAAGTAGGCTCTTTCATTAACTTTTATTAATCTGAGAAATATAGACTTACTGTTGAGAAGTCGAAGTTATGATTCAGTTTTCCTTATCTTTTCTCGCATTTTAGTTGCTATGTTAAAGGCGTGATTGTCACTTAGTAGGTTCTTTTCTTTTCTATTTTTGTTTTATTCTGGACACGTGTTATATTGTGGTTGGTCTAGCCACTCACATGTAAAGCATGTGCTTGTCGTCATGCTTATATTCTGTAATCGAGCTTTTAGCTCATTTTCAATTAAATGAAAAAAAAGGTCCTGGAAAATTCCAAAAACTCTCTCGCACAAAATGCAGGAAAACACTTGAATCAACATGGTACCAGAGCAGGAAATTTGAAGCAAAATCATGGCGAACAACAGAAAAGATCGCAGCAGAGAAATAGTGGCAAAATCCAACTACTCAAGGGACATCGATCCCCTCTCTCTGCATGGATCTGACCATCCTGGAATGGTACTAGTTACCAATCAGCTACACGGTCCGAACTACCTCCATTGGAGTCGGGCTATGAAGCTAGCTTTAGCAGCCAAATCCAAGCTTGGATTCATAAATGGAGTTGTTGAAGTTCCAGCACTAAATACTGAGGAGTATGAACAATATCTAAAGGTGGAATCTATGGTAATCTCTTGGATTCTTAATTCTATCTCAAAGGATATTGTTGAGGCTTTTATGTATGTGACAAATTCAAAGCAACTGTGGGACGAACTTGCTGAAAGATATGGGGAAAGCAATGGCCCTTTGAGATATCAGATGCAAAAGGAAATTGCTAACTATACACAAGGTACATCCTCAGTGACCACATATT